AACCACGCGGCCAAGTCCATCAGGTGCGACTTGGCTTTATCAGTGCTCTGGCAGGGGCGGGATGGCGAAGCAGAACCCGAGGTGCCCAAAGGAACCGTCCACTGGTCAGCCAGCCAGTAGCTCGTCTGCATTTGCAGTCCACCCAGCACGAGAAATCTCTGGACAGCCCAGAGCCCTGCACGATGCCTCCAGGGTTCCTAAGCGCGACATTGCAGAGTTCCAGAGGTACTACTCAGAATCGTCCTTAGAACCAGCGAGTGCGGATATCGTGAGAGCAGGGCTGCACTAGTCAGCAGCGTGGACTGTGCACGTCTTTATCCATATGATGTGTATGGATGTAGTATCTAATACCCCAGGAAGAGACCCAGAGACAGGAAAGTGCCAGGGAGATCAGTGAGTACTCAATTATTTTAGCATTTATTTTATTATTTTCATATACAGTTCTGTCACTCACACGTTGCTTTAAAAAAAGATTTAAATTTTATGTAAAGATTGAACTTCAATAAAATAACTTAAAAAACATATACATATATATCACTAAATCTCCATAAAATATACGGTACTTTTGATACAGCGTATGCTACGGTGACTTCGATGGCAATGGTCCACGGTCAGAGTTTGTAAGAGCTATTCCATACATCGTGTGTGGGAACACATGTACTGAATTTGCCAGGACACGTGAAGAACATACTATAGAACGTGCACTCACAAACTAAAATATGCTGTTTGAAATACATATATTTTTAAAGCATAGAACTGTTTGGATTTAATCTAGATGTACACTAGAGCTTCTCACCAGGAATCGGAACAATTTATTACAACTAAAAGATAGGATAGCATCAAGTCCAAGTCCAGGTGCTGCCAGGAATCGGTCTGCACAAGTAGCATACGGACGTCTACTTGGGCTACATCTTCTTTAGCTTATGAGGGAGATGGAATGATACGGAAAGGACTAAGATTTTACAGCTTTACAAAATACTGGTCTTTAACTTAAGGTGCTGGTTAGCTGCATGGTCCATCTCCTTTTCTCATTTATACGAGGAAATTAAACACATGAACAACCGTCTAAAGCAGAGTTCGGAACATCACTGGTAGATGACTGTAGTGAACAAGTGACTCGCGGACAGGAGACTGCCTTTGATGTAAAGATTCACAGGTATGACACTGTTGTATGCTCACAAGCCCATGAGAAGAGGAGAACTCTGAGTACTTCTGAGCGTAGCACTCTTACAGAACACCTGTCTGGTGATCACTGGCACATAGGAATTCCATTCTGTAAAGGGACAACATCCCGGCAGGGGTTGGCAGCAGTTTGCTGTTTGGCATTATAAAATGATTGCTATTTCTGAGGACAGCAGCAGTGTTGCTCACCCTGAAGAACTGAATGTTCTGACAATTTACACAATGTTGCAACAGGACCCCCCCCCCCCCCCAATCAACTTAACTCTGCCCTAAGTGAGGCTGAGAGAGGGACAGAAAGGGACAGGCACAGGACACAGAGGGAACGCAGGGAGCGATTCTGAGCCCCTCGGAGACAGCAGCTACTGTACCCATGCTCCAACAGAGTTCACTCCACAGCATACAGGACGAATGCTCAAACCCTAGCCTGGTATGTCACGAAGCTCTTCTGTTCCTAGTTAGTGCAACGGTCAGAATTTGGCAATGGAAATAATGACAGTGGAATAAAATCGGCTGTTAGGTACTAGTATAATTTGATATACTATAACTTGAAATATGGTAAAATTTTTTTTTTGCTAATAAAATCTACATCAGTGAAAGAAAATCAAAATAATCTTCCAATTCTCCACTGCATCACAGTATTAATAAGCTATATGCATGTCAATAAATTCTGAGAATTTCCTAAATAGCACATAGATAGTGTTTCTGAAACATAACCCACCCCACCCAGACCTTGGGTTTCACTTTTACTTTGCTATATATAATCAAGAAGTTCAGTTATAAATCTATGCTTTCCCTGATGATCCCTGCCATGTGTAACAGACACTGAACTCATAATAAAAACTTATAAGTGCCTTGTTTTAAGTGATTTCCCATTTTAGAGTAAATAACCTAAAATAACATTTAGATTCCTATGTACTAAAGTCTGGTTCACTGATAGATTATGCAGAAGCATTCAGTAGCATTCTCAAGGAACCGACTATTGCTTATGGCTGGGAACAGACTCTCAAATGGAAACGCTACCTTTTATTTATTATTTAGGTCTTTTACCTCACATTAAACTACTTCTGTTTAGGGTGCTGACCAAAGTGCGGCCGTCTACAGTGTCAGCAGTGTTCACATCAAGCTACACCTTTCTCAAGTGCCGCAGAACAGCCGCCCCGCCGAGCCTCGGCAGGAACGGGGGCCTGCCCCCGCGTCCTGCTGGGACACAGTGCGCCTCTGGCAAGGCGGCAGCTCACAGCCGAGGCCTGGCACCTGGTCACACCACGCCCTGTATAAACTGTCTCACTGCAGGTAAGATGTGTGCTGGTATTTCCAGCAGGATGGTTTGCTAGCGGCAGCCAAAGATGCCGAGAACTTAAGAAGGTGTGCAATATAAAAAAACCTGAAAAATTTGATATTTTATATACTATAAATGTTCACCAAATCCAAAAATAATACCCTAATTATATAAGATTCTTTTTCAAGTAATTATTTGTTTTTAAAAAGTTATAAATAATTCTTTTACTGTGCCCCTCTCTCTATGGAGTATTATCTTTTTCACTATATAAATAACAAATAGTGCTTTACAGAGTGGTGGAGGAGAATGGGGACGAGAACTGTGGCCGATTTTCTCTGTTCTCCGCATTTACGAGGACAGAGTTGCAAGCATTGTTTGCTTAGGTCAGGGAGAACAGGCCGTGTTTGGTTGCTCCCTTGATAAAGCTCTGTGCATCAGCCCAGCTGAGGATAGGAGTATAGTTAAGGCTAGAGATACAGTAAGATAAGAATTGAGGCAATCATTTGGATAAATCAGAAAAATAAATTTTTAAAGACAGCACTTAATTGTTCTAAGTACTTTTCTCCTCATTGCACTGTGATTGTACCACACAATAGCTTAGTTTCCATTTTGTTTTACCTGTATAAGATAGTACACAGATAAAAAGTTCCATATTATGGGATAAGAAATAATAATTTTTTTTGTAATGAATCACATCTGCTTGTCTGGGGGAAAAATGGTAATATCCCCTTAGAAGCAACCGTCACAGCACCTAATTCAAGGGGGAAACACCCTAAATGACCGGGTTTTTAATTCCATGGGATTACCAGGCGAGGAAACCTTGTCTTTTAGTTCAGAGGTTAGGGCACTAACGCGACTGCTGCAGTGCCTCTGGGGGCCTGAGGGTGAGCCTCCTTGCCGTGTTCTCAGCTTGCTAACCGGGACAGGAACATGCCACACGTGAACAGGCTGCCAGAAATGCTCTGAGTCCAGAGGCACCGCCTCTTCCCTCCGAGGGAGGACCTTGTAGCGCTCAGAGCCGCGTTCAGACGCCGCCGCGCAGCGATGCCTCCCAGCAGGCGCCGGTGCCTGCCACACAGTTCTTAGAGACGCAGAAATCAAGAATTCACTGATGGGTGCAGGGAATGCAAGGAACATCCTGCTGAAATGCAGAACACACACAGTTCTTACAGACGTGTCCTGTATTACAACAGTTAATGTAGAACACTGGGAAATCGCAATTTTTACGCAAGTAAGGGAAAAAAATCCAAACCAAGCATGAGGAAACAGAGATAAGTGTCTCTCTCTCTCTCTCTCTGGCAAATTCTCAGGGTAAAAGGAAAAAAGTGTGCAAAATAAAAACTAGGCTATGTTCGTAAGTTACCAAAAAAAAAAAAAAAAAAAAAAAGGACAGGACAGTTGAGAACTGAAACCCCTTAGGGAGAGTATAGACAGAGGAAGAAAGCCCCAACCCCTTAGGGAGAGTGTAGACTGAGGAAGAAAGCCCCACTCTGGTACTCAGACATCAGAAACAGGGTCATTTCTGATGCAACTCCCTTCCTGTGTTTGCTTCAGAGATTCACTCTGACTGAACGGGGACGCAGCCAACGGAAGGCACGGCGAGCAGGGCTCCAGACGGCGGGGGAAGGCAGGACTCTGCCGGGGAACCAAGGCCGGCCCGACGCTGCCGGGTGCGTGTGCGGGTGACTGACCCATCAGGGACCCCCCTGTCCTTCCTTCCTTCCTTCCTGGCAAGTGTGTGCTTGTCGCTGACGGAGAAACTCCTGCGAGACCTGCTGTGCGCCCTGTTCCCGAGCTCCATGCGCAGTCCACCCCTGCACCGAGGGGGCCCCGGTACCAGGACTGGGAACCAGAGCCGTGGGGGCCCTCTCTGCACCTGTCGCTCCCAGGGAGCACTGCCCCTCGGGAACAGTGTGTGTGTGTGTGTACAACGCCACGCGGCCGTCGCCGCCACTTCCTCACTGACACACATCTGTCACCTGGCCAGGCTCGCACTGGGTCTGTGGCCACTGAGAAGTGTGTGGTCGTGGGGGCAGACAGGTGGTACCGCACTGAAGCCAGTGGGTACGGTGTTCATTCTGGGCTAAGGGAAGCAAGTGCAGGGATCTGAGCAACAACTGTTAGGCAGAAATCTCGGTGGGTTTTTTGTTTTTACGTATCTCGTGGGGAAAAGAAACGATGTCACCGTGGTCGTGTCTTCCGCCTACATCAAGTACTCTAGAACCCGAAGCCACTCAGCACTAGGCCGGAAAGAACCAGGTCAGAGGCGGGGTGGCGAGGTCACCACTGCTGCTCTCCGCACGTCAGCGTCGTGACCGTGAGCTATTCCAGTCGAGGGTCGTGTCAGAAAGTGTAGTGCGCCTCACGGATGTACTCGATGTAGGCCCCCTGTCGAGTCACGCGCCGCACGTGCACAGCCTGCTGTCAAACAGGGATTCGATCTCCTCCAGCTTCTTGCCCTTGGTCTCGGGCAGACAGCCGTAGACAAACGCCAGGCCCAGGGCGGCCAGGCTGGCGTAGAGGAAGAAGGCGCCTGCAAGGGGAACAGCACACACGGAGTCAGGGGCTGCGAGACCGCACGGGGCTGACGTGCTCCCTGAGTCACTCGGCATCACGCCCAGGAATGGACCAAAAAAACCAAATAGCACAGCCTGGCGATTCCAGTCCCGTGAGGCCCCGGTCAGGTGCCCCCTCGGGAAGAGGGAGAGGACGGGCTGTGTCCACGCGTGGGCTCCGCAGCCTGCCCCCTGCGCACTGGCGCAGAGTCCTCCAGTTCTGTGCGTGTCTCGTCTCCTAGGTCACGCATCTTTCTTTCTTACTCACCTTGGGTTTCCAGGCCCACGCACAACGGCACCTCCGTGGAATCAACCTCCGTGGAGGACGAGGCGACCGCCTCCTTCCAGTCTCTCAGCCAGAAGTCTGGGAGTCGTCCCTGGCCTTTCTCGTGTCACAGCCAACATCCCCGTGTTAGGACATCCTGTCGGCTGCACCCCCACGGTGACGCCTTCCCCCTGTGCCCTCGGCTCTCTCCTGGCAACCCCATTGCCCCATCCTCCTCCACGGCACCATCCTCGAGGTGCAGGAAGGGCTGCCGGGTGGTTCTCTCTGCCTATTTCCCAGGCTGCCTTCCTTTAAAATCCAAGAGCCGGTGGAGAACCGCTAAATGAGGCAGGGGAGGGCAGATCTGCATCTTAGAGACAAGAGACTGTCCCCGCGGGAGAGGGGACGTCATTCAGGGTCCGGCACTGGGAAGCTGCGGGTGAGCCGCTGCCTCTGCCGGTGTGGGTGTCCTGCGCAGGTGCCCTTCAGAGCCGGCTCCCTGCGAGCCCTAGAACGGAGGAGATTTGGACCGCTGACTGGGTGGGGTTGGGGGGGTGACTGACAGGACAGTGCTGGGTGGATGCGGACACTCTGCCAGAAACGGACAGAGGCAGGATGGTGACCAAGGTGATCCAGACGGAGCCAGGCTGCCACACCACAACACCATGACCGGAAGTCCAGCCTGGCCTCTCGGAACATGATCTTGGATCTTGCATTACTGGTCATGGCTTGGCAACACCGGCATAATGAAAACCGAGAAACGCCTGGTAAAAGCAGATGGGTTAGGAAGGTTCTTAAGGGGAGGGCCGTACGGATGCCCGCTTGTGCCCAGACGCCCAAAGTCAAGGAAATTCTATAGAAATGGAAGACTTCCATAAAAACGTGAGCAATGGAAACCAGGCCGAAGTCAGAACTGCCTGCCAAGCGTGGGGGCCCGGACAGGCTCCACGCCACTGGCAACGGCGCTGAAACTCACGTGCTCAGTTCTCTGCCCTGCAGTGGAAGGTCCTCCACGGTCTGTTCCATAGCACAGAGACTCCCTCCGTGTACTTGGGGCTCGAGTAAGATGCCTTCTCCAGAATCAAGTTCTGCATTACTGTCTGCAATGTTGGTGCCGTTTCAGCAGTGGACTTAGCGGATGCGGGTACTGGGCAGGCAGGATAAGCAGCACGGGTTCGCAAGCATCCGGACGCTGAGATCTCAGGAAGCAACTACACAGGAGGAAGGCGGGGCCAGCACTGTGGTGCGGCAGGGAAAACTGCCGCCTGCGATGCCGACATCCCACGTGGGCCCTGCTTTGTGTCCCGGCTGCTGCACTTCCGACCAGCTCCCTGCTAACGGCCTGGAAAAAGCAGCAGATGGGCCAAGGGAGACCCGTACTGAGCTCTTGGCTCAGGGCTGGCCCAGCTCTGGCCATTGTGGCTTTCAGGGGGAGTCAACCAGCAGATAGGGAGAGACGCAGAGATTTTCTCTCTGACACTGAAATAAATACGCAATTTTTTTTTTTTAAGGAAGCGAACAAGAACCTTTCTCAAGAGGCACACGTGCTTAAAAGGAATGTAACACACAGGTTGTGCAAATTGGTAACCCGTAGATTGAAATGTCAGAAACATGGCACGCTCTCAGCGGACCTGAGTCATTCTCCCCCGCGGGCGAGTGCTGGGCGCACTCGTGAGAAAGGCCACACAGAGCTGACGGCTGCGCGCCAGCGTCCATGTGGGGGGCCCACCAGGCCCTGCCTGTGTTTCGGCCACTGACGCAGGCTTCTCTGGCACAAGGAATGCCAGAACAAGGAATGCTGGCATCAGAACCGTGCCCAGGTGGACTGGCGCTATCTGGTCCGTGATTTCCCCCACAAAGTCCTTTCAAGATGTTTGTATGTATTTAGGTCTTTAAGCATTTTCAAGAATCAGCAAAGACGAGGAAATATTTCCTTTGTTCACATGCATCATGTCATGAAGAAAAGTTCATGAACTGATGTAAAAACTCCAACTGCCAGACGGATAGAGCTGAATACTCAATACACGTCCAGTTCCAAAGGGAGTGCGTTACTTCTGCAAGACAGTGAGTGCCCCTAAATGCTAAGCAGCAGCTGAGAGGGAGGTTCACAGAGAACGGTGTGCCGGCTAAAGACATGAATGAAAAACGGGCCCAAACTGAGCGGGTTCACGAGAGAGGGCCCATGGTGCTCACCGTGTGTGCTCGCGCTCAGCGTTCAGCTACAACCACGTGAGAGGGAGCCACAGCCAACAGGCCCACGTGCTACTCGGGACAGCACGATGCCCTGGAAGGAACTGGAGTGGCGGGGGACACAGTGCAGTCGGGCCCCGCGGTGGGCTGCTGGTGTGGTTGTGGGGGGGCCCGGCCGCCTGCCCACCTGTCTCTGCAGGGAGGAGTGGGTAGTGGCCGGGCCTCGGTGCTCAGTGCTCAGTGCTCCACAGCACGCGGGCCTCCCCGGGCGCCCCAGCACCGCCTGTGAAGTCGCGCGGGCGACAGGTCACACTCCTCCAGCATCCAGAGGCCTTTGCGCTTTAGCAAAAATGGATTCGAGGCGGCTTCCCAATGCAGCCACGCCCCACACTGTCTCCCAGCCAGGTGTGCTCCACACGCTGGGGTCGCCTTTGGTTTGGAAGTGGGATGTGCTGGGCCGCGCCCCCTGCCCCCTCCAGCCTGTTCCCTTACTGCTGTCTCTGTTAAGCTGTGAGCTCTGCGGACAAGATCGCAGCTGGGAAAGCAGCCGAGTGATGCCTGGGTGAGGAGAGCGGCTGGGTGGCAGCGCTGAGGGACCAGACACTGTTCCCGGGGCGAGAATGCCTCCTCTCTCCCAGTGACACTGGCAAGGCCTCTGGGAAATACAAATATTTGTGTGTGTGCAGCTTTGTAACGGCAAAAAAAAAAAAAAAAAAATACCTGCGGTCTGTCGATCACAAACAGTACCTAAAAACACAGTAGGACAAGTAAGAACGAGATGGAAGAAGCCCTCTCACCGTAGTAGGTCAGGTACTCCGCCGTGTGCAGGAAAGTCAGAGAGACCAGGACGTTGAAAATCCAGTTTATTCCTGAGGAACAGGCGTTCCCTGTGCTTCTCGCCCAAAGCGGGTATATTTCAGAGTTCACGGTCCAAGGCATCGGTCCCATTCCTGAGAAACAGAACATTTAACTTGGGTGACACAGCATGTACGGCATCTGAAAAATGGTAGCTCGCGTCCTCGCAGAAGGGACGTGGAACAGTAAGAACGAGCCCTGCTTACCAGGGGCGAAGAACACAAGGTACAAGATGAGGCCCAGGAGGGCAGTCCAGGAGTACGGGGTGGGGCAGAAATTGTAAGCCCAGAACACCTCTTCCGTTTTGAATCTGGTTTCATTTTCACACCTGAAAAATAAAGCCGCACACGTGTGAGCTTGGTGCTCCGGGGCACAGGCGCAGGCATCCTGTGTGGTCTTGGTGGATGGCTAGGGAAGTGCCTCCATGTCTTGAAAAAGGATCCAGAATGTTTTCCTCAAAACCGTAAGAAACATCCAGTGTTAGATACGCGAGGGCACACAGAGCCCCCTGCAGCCAGGTACAGCAGTGGCACAAAACAATACTCTGCTTCCTACCCAGTTCATGCAAATCGGGATTTCTGGCTGGGCTCTGTCCCTGCTGTGGGGGAGGACCTCCGAGTGGTGGGCGTGTCCTGCATCTGCAGCGGGGACCAACCTCAGACTGCTGAACCCCACTGTTCCCATCTGTAAAATGGGGCTACTATGCTACCGATTAGGAGGGCCACCTGTGAAGGGGCCGCCAGGGGAGAGGGGAGCACACAGGACAGAGACCAACACTGACATCTGGGTCCAAACCTCTCTCCCTCCCCCCGCACCTGCTTCTCTTCCGTCACTCCCAGAAGGCCCTGCTGCCTGGCTACACAGGGAAGCCAGGGATCCTATGGTTCAGACGGACTCCCCGGTGAACTCCTGTTGTTCCTCTTGATGACCGTGAAGGCAGCGCCAGCCTCGGCCACAGAATGGTCACTGCTCCGCCTCCACCCGCCCTGGGCCTCGACATGCCAGCCCTCTTCCAGTCCTTGATGACTCAGGCGCCTGCTCAGCCCTCCTCCCCAGCCCCTCGTGCCTTGCCACGTTCACTGATTACTTCTGGCCCACCCAAGAATACCATGGCCTTGTGCCTCCTTGTTTCGTCTCTGCAAGGACACGGCACTTCCCCCCTGCTGGGTTTGCAAACCTCACCCAGGGCTTTCCTTTCCTGGTCATTGTGCCACATCCCAAACCACAGTCTTGGGAGAATCTTCTTTTAGGAATGTATGGGAAAGGCAGACAGACAGAGATCTCTGGCCCCCTGGTCCACTTGTGGAGCCTGGAAGGGGGGTAGTACTAGCACGGTCACTTCCTCATCTGTGAAATGCAAGGATGTCACAGGTGGATGGGGACACTCAGTGTCCGCACAGGGCCCTGCACCTGCGCCCTGAGCACGGAGCCCAGCCTGTCCCTCTCCTGGTGTCACTCGCGCCAGGTCTGCTGTAGGTGCCCCCACGTTCCCTGTGTCACAGCGGCTTCCAACCCTGGCCCACCAGCCTCAGTGTTTCAGTGTCTTCCTACCACTTCTGCACATCCCTGCAATCTCAAGTCCAAGTGGGGCACGGCGGCTGAGACCGTGAGCGCTGGCCCCGGCTCCCGCGGTGCAGACCCAGGCTGGGTCGCCCCGAGCAGGGAGCGTGGATGTGACCCAGGTACTGTGCTCATCTCACATCCACCTCAGAGAGGTCCTGGAGGCTCAGGCGCAGGCCAAGAATTCCACCCGGGACAGGCGGGAAGTCTTCCTGTCTGGACGCTTGCTTGAAGCGTACTCTTCCTCTCTATCGCCGCCACCAGAGCTCCTACCGCATACATGGGCCTCACTCTCTACACCTGCCTTCGAGGCCGGCTCCCAGCCGCCCCAGGGGATCGCTGTTGCTGGGCCTCTCGCCCTGAGTGTGCACGTGACCTGTGACATGAGCAGGGTGCAGGCGACAGGAAGTGGGACCGAACGCTGAAGGCTCTCTCCTGCTGGGCAGCAGAAGCCTCCAGGGTGCTAGAAGACTGGGGCGGGGTGCGGAGGAACTGGAGGCCACGGCAGCCCAAAGCCAGCAAGACGTGCAAGTCCTGGGAGTGAGACAAAACAGAGTCCAGTCGTGCACGTGGGCTGGACCCTCGCGAGCTGCAAAGAGGGCCCCAGTGCACAGAAGCCGCGACGTCATACCCGTGTGCAGCGGCAGGAAACGCACGGCCCCCGACTCGCCTCCCCACTCCCGGATCCGACTCCTCAGCCGGCTCCCCGGCCTCGGCCGGCTGCTGCGGCATTGCCGCAGCCTCCTGCGCTCAGAGCATGCGGTCTGTCTCCCCCGCTGCCCACAACGCCGGGCTGCAGCCGTCTAGGCACAGCCCCCTCCCCCAGCCACACCGGACCACGGGGTTTCTGAGCACACCTCCAGCAGAGCCGGCGTGTTCCGCAGCCGATTCCCGCACTCACGGCCGACTCACTCCCACTATCTGCCGTCAGCACCGCCCCGGCCCTCAGGGCCCCCACGATGCCCTCCCCCCCATCCATGTCTTTGTCTCCTCACCACACAGCGCCCTGGGCCATCCTCTCCCAGTGGCTCCTCCTGCCGCTGCCCGGGGGCCCAGCCCAGGCAGCGCCACAGGTGGCACAGCAGGTACGCTATGTGGGTTGGCATCTCCAATGACCAGCTGTGCATCTCTGGGAAAGTTTCCTACCCTCTCTGTTAAGACAGGTGTTACAGGGGGCTACAAAGATTAAATGTACACGTCTGCCAAAAGGAAAGTCATTTTTTTGTTTGTTTTTTAACTTCTATCTATTTGAAAGGCAGAATGTTAGAGGAAGAGGGGAAGGCAGATTGACAGACATTTTCCATCTCTGGTTCACTCTGAAAATGATCACAACTGAGGCTGCGCCGGGCGGAAGCCAGGAGCCTGAAACTAAACCTGAGCCTCCCACGGGGGAGAGAGGGGTTCAAGCACCTGGGCTGGCATCTGATGCTGCCCCCCGTGCACCAGCAGGGAGCGGGACTGGGGCCGAGCAGCCGGGACCTTGAACTGCTGCCTGCATATAGGATGCCGGTGCTGTGCCACAACGCTGCCCCCTCCAAGTCCCCAGTCCATCACAGCGCTCGGTGGGCACAGAGGCCGGCTGTGTGGTTCACCAGGCCCTCTCCTTTGCCTCTGAGTAGAACACTGCACCAGAAATGCCCAGCCAATGACCCTGCATCTCCACTGCCCACCACTGAGACCGTCTGGAACGAGGACGATCTCCGAACAAGGAAGGCGGCAGGCATCTAGCACAGGATCAACCACAAGTTCAAGTCTCAGCTTCACTCCCACTGACAGCTTCTTGCTCAGTGGCTCAGAGTAGCTGGGACCTCATCACCCACAGGGGAGAGACAGATGTGACCACGGCCTGCCCAGCTCCCACATGTTGGGCACTTGGGGAGTGAACCCATGACCAGGCAGAAAGGAAAAACACAGGCAGGCAGGTTCCCGAGGGAGGGATGCCTGTAAATACGTAAAATTCACTGAAACTTATTTCCGCTCTGATCCCAGTTCTCTGCGTAGCGTCCCTGTGTGCAAGGCGCAGATGCCAGCTGCGTGGTCACCTCTATTGGTTTCAGGGCGGCCTTGGGGCGCTGGCCCAGCCAAGTCACACCCGCAGACAGCAGGCGAGTGGCGCACCACCACGTCCCACCTCCGCGAGGCACCAGGCATCCCTTGCAGACATGATGCCACCACCTTCTCCTGGCTCCCCCGGTACACTCCCGGCACAGCCGACCTCAGCCACACCTCCCCGTGCAAAGCCGGACGCGACCCCCGCCCGGGGGCCACCGCGGGGGCTAGACGCATTGCTGACCACCTCCTTGCATCAGCAGGCTGAGCCGGAGGCTGCTGCAAGCAGGGAAGCCACAGCGCCCCCTGGTGGCGCACCTGGACAGCGCGGCTCTGGATCGTCTCCGTCTGCCTCTCAGTGGGCAGCGAGACCCTCGCCACAGTCCACCCTAAGTAAAACACTCTCAGCTCCCTACACAAGCGCTGAGCTTTCTGTATCACCCCTTTAGTCACCAGGATGAGATTATTTAGCCATGTCACATGACATATGGGACAGGGAGAAAGACACAAACTATTGGCAAAGCAAACCTCCAAGCTTTACCTATCCAGCTATGGCACATCACCCCTGTCCTCAAGGTGCCTACTGTAGTGTCTTGAGTTTTGGAGACGGCTGGTGAGGCTTACTATGGTCTGAGGGAGGCACCTGTCATCCCCCCCACCCTGCTTCGGGCCACAGCGCTTGTGTAGGGAGCTGAGAGTATTTTACTTAGCAGACGGAGCCGCGCTGTCCAGGTGCGCCACCAGGGGGCGCTGTGGCTTCCCTGCTTGCAGTAGCCCCCGGCCCAGCCTGCTGGTGCAAGGAGATGGCCAGGCCGTCACCCACAACACATGGCGTCCCTAGGGACTGACACCCCCTCTTCTGTATGGGATTGGTGACACACTCGGGGTGGCTTTTCTCATAGCTCCATGTACAGCTTTATCATGACCCTTCCAGGAGCCAAGAACTCAAACATGAACCTGTTCTCTCAACACGGACAGCAGTGACGAAGCTCAGTCCACGGCCCTGACTCCTCCCAGCCCCCCAACGGGCTGGCAGGTGCTCAGGAGGCTGCGGTGGAAGGTGGTACAGCTGTTCCTTTTGGAATCATCCTGTTCAGAACACGCCTCCTCCCGGTTCCCATCAGGAACCAGCACCACGAGGGACTCTGGGTGGCGGGAGGAAACCAGACCGAAGCAGGCAGAGGCAGGGAGACATCCAAGGGGAATCAGACTGGGACAACACGGCCACTCAGGCCCGAGGGGCTCTCCAGCCACGAGAAACCACGTGGGTTTCATTCAATGAGGGCGCCCAGTGTGGAATCCCGGCTTCTGCAGCACGGGGGGACACGGCTACCATGGTCCCCATTGTACAGATCATGCAAGCCAGGGCCTGGGAGGCTCAACAACTCGCCCAGAGCTCAGTGCCCTGCCTGGGGACCATGCAGCCGGGGGCGGCAGGCGGGCACAGAGCTCCAGTGTGGGGGGCCAGGAAACGGGGGCCGGCTCGAGCACATCCTCCCACTTTCCAGTTCTCCCAAAGGCCCTGGGTCCGAGCCCCTGGCCAGCTGGCTTTCCTGGGCCCGGAGGTTTTCCAAATGCTCTCCTCCCTCTTTATCAAGGCCTTCACCCACATCCGGACGCTCGGCGAGGTGGTGCTGCGGGCCCCTGCTCTGCAGTCAGCCATCTGCTCTGAGGGTCTACGCGACGCCCAAGGGCTGGCGGGACATTCAGGCTTGTCTG